AGCCATGGTATTTTCTTTTTTTTTGCCATGGTATTTTCAAGGGCCTCACATGCATGTGAAAGTGGGACATTAAATAAAGATGATGGAAGAAGCATCCAGGAATTTGAATTATGGTGCTGGCAAAGAATCTTGAAAGTACCATGGGCTGCCAAAACCACAAATAAATCTATCTTGGAAGAAGTACAGCCAAAATGCTCCTTAGAGGCAAGGCTGATGGGACTTCATCTCACATACGTGGGACATGTTTTCGGGAGAGAGCAGTCCCTGGAGGAGGACATTCTGCTTGGTGAAGGAGAGGGACAGCAAAGAAAAAGGGAAGGTCCTCGACAAGGTGGAATGACACAATGGCTGCAAGCATAAGAATGACAGTGAGGGTGACGCAGGACTGGGCTGTGTTTTGTTCTGTTGTACACGGGTCACCATGAGTCAGAGCTGCCTGGAGGGCACCCAACCACCACGAAGCACAAGCTGGTGACTCAAAGCCCCCCAGCAGCTCCACCACAAGGCCTAATGATCCATTCCTATGGAGATTCAACCAATGCCATCCATTGCTTTTAAGTTAATTCCAACTTACAGTGACCCTGAAGGTAAGCATGGAATGACTCCATAGGGTCTCCAAAGCTGTCAGTCTTTACAGAAGCAGACTGCTACATCTTTCTTTAAGGAAGCAGCTGGTAGGTTCAAACTACCAACATTTCAGTTACTAGCCTAGGACTTAACTACTAGTTCACCAAATCTCCTATTCCCATAAAGATAACAGCCCAGGGAACCTAAGGGGTACTTCTACTCCATCTTGTGGGGTCATTATAAGTTGAAATTTACTTAATGGGTTCTAAAAATATCAAATTCCATTGTAGGAATTCATCACTTTTTAGGAATCCAAAGAGCCCTGTTATAAGCTTGAACATGTCATCTAGTGAAAACAATGTATTCTCAATATGCAGTGCATAAAACAATATGTCATGTAGTTTATTTAAAGTTGTCTCTTTTTCTTTTTCAATATTTGTCATATTTATTTTTAAAAGCCAACCACAGCCATCAAGTCATTTCCAAGTCATAGTAACCCTATGACAGAGTTCCAGGCTCTTAATCTTTATAGGAGCAGGTCGCCTCATCTTTCTCTCTCAACGTAGCTGATGGCTTTGAACCTGTGACCCTGCGCTTAGCAGCCAATCACCTAACTCGCAGCACTGCCAGGGCTCCTCACATTCATTTTAGGGCTATTAAAATGTCATAGTCATCCATCATCACTTGATGAATTTCCCCACAAGCAAGTGGGGAAAAATAAGTGGTCTTCATTAGTTTAAAAAAAAAAAAAAGTTATCCCATAATGCATCCAGAACTCTGAAGACAAACGTTAACAGATGGAAAGTGAGCTCCAAATTCTAAGAAGTTTGTTTTGTTTTGATCATTGTCAGGTCCTCTGGGTCAATGCTGTCCAATAGAAATATAACTCAAACCACATGCAATTGCACAATTTCAAGGAGCCATATTGAAAAACAAAAACAGGTGGAATTACTTTTAATAATGCATTTTATTTACTGTGTTAGTCCGGGTGGACTGGAGAAACAAATCCGTAGACACACGTGTATGTATGAGAAAGATTTTTATATACAAGAGGAATTGAACGTTGAGAAGACATCCTACCCAGTCCACTCCAAGGCCATAAGTCTGATATTAGCCCATATGTCCGATACCAATCTAAAAAGTCCTCTTCAGACTCACAAAGCACAAGCAAAGAAGCCAAATGTAGGACGATCACAAGCCAGTGGGGAGAAAGTCTTTAGGTCCAGTGGCGTTGTAAGCATCTCAGGGCTGGCAGGGCTCTCTCTGTGGCTTCTTTGGCTTCCGAGGTCTGGTTGCGTCCACGTAGCTTGTCTTCTCCAATTTCTCCCAGGGTGTAGCAGAGAGAGGTGTCTTCCACTTTCCAAGGGGGAAGTACCAGATTTCCCAGGATTCTCAGGAGGAGGCCATCCACACACAGAAGTCTCATTGGCTACCACCAGATTGACAGCCTAGATTCCACCCCTACACTGTTAATACTTAAATTGACACCAGATTAGGTGACTGCCACATTTTCTCAGTTTGCCAAAATACTAGCATCTCAAAATTAAGGAGTTTACAATTGAAACATTTTATTTATTTATTTTAGTCATGTTTTCAAAATCCAGAGTATATTTCATATATAGAGTACATTTCACTTCAGACTCTGAATTTCTATCAGAAAAATTGCTTGGTGTTTCACTTTCCTAAGATTTTCAGTTGCGACAATAGCTTTACATACTATAGGAAGATACAGCCATGGACAGAGAACAAGCCAAGTGGAAACATGAGAATGCTGACACTGCATTGGAGCTGAAATTCTGAACACAGAATTTGCACAAGTTTCTAGAAGGGATCCCTACCTCCATTTTGAGTCTCTACCTAAATTCCGCCTAGGAGAGTCCTCTGTGACCCTGGACTAGGAATGTGGAACAATGTGCCCTCAGGCGAGTGTTTATATTGTGAAACAGACTGCTGCTGAAACTCCCCTCATCAGGCCCGGGGGACTTGCTGGGCTTGCCCTTGGTGGACAGCGGGATACAGTGAGAGGGCCCTGTATGTTGCGCTTCTCATCTGTAATAGCGTACATAGCCCCCAATCACTGGCTACTGTGAGGCGCTGATCTACCGCCCAGTCATGATTTTAGGAAGGATTTTAACCACAAGTCTTCGGGTCCTTCCACAACATTATTTTCTCCGGCAGGGGCAGATGCTTTCTCTAATCCAGAGGGTTGTTTTTTCTCTAATTTTAAGATTTATTAAACCAAACAAACAAAAACAACAACTCAGTGCTATCAAGTCATGTCTGACTCATTAACCATACAGGACATAGTAGAACTGCTCCTGTGGGTTCCAAGACTTTACATCTTTATGCGAGCCAACAGCCTCAGCTTTCTCCCGACAGCTTACATTATGGTTAGTAGCTCAGTGCATAGCACACGGCGACAGCAGAGCCTGAAGACTTCACATGACATTCCATTTGAATCGGTGCATGATGTTAGGTCCTGCAGGAATGACAGTATTATGGTTCAAATAAATTACAGCCATTTATTGTCTTGATAATTTAGAAGAGTCTTTATTCAGTTATAACTGGAATGCTAGAATCTGAAAGCGATTCTTTGATTGCAGTCCTGAGTCAACATTTCAATCCATCTTTTAAGGTAAAAAACTCATTTATCCTTTATCTAAGACTTAAACAAGCGTGGACAGAAGCAGAAAACAAAATTAAGGTT